CAGGTCAGCTCCCCGCTGCGCAAGGCTTGGCGCCGTCGCTGCCTATCACAGATTAGCATGTGCATCCAGGACAGCTTCGCGCCGCTTCTGCAGCGTTGCAGCCAGTTGATTGCGGCCGGGGAAAACACAGACAAGGGGGTGACGGAGATCTTGGCAGAGGCAAATGACTGGGTGGATCAGGTACGCTACGGATGAGGCTGGGGGTGATGCTGTGCTGCGCCTGACACCATCCTGCGTCGTGGACTCGCCTGTTTGCCTGCTTGCCAGGTGCCTCACTGCTGCTACTTGCCTGCTCTTTCCCCTATGCGTGTTCTTGCTGCCTGGTTCAGCTGGCTCCCATCTATGACCACGTCGCGCCCTGCTTCCCGCCCAACTACCGCATCTTTGGCGTCATCTGTGCGGAGCATCACCGCCAGCTCAGCAGCATGATTGACTTTATTGGGCTGTGTGCCGAAAACCTGGCCAATGCAGACATACTGAATGCGAGCTGCAGAGGAGGAATGGGGAGAGTCTGCGTTTACTGCCTGCTCGCCTTCCCTGGATAAACTCGCCTAGTCCACCCTATTGTGCAACTTGACAATGCCCCGCTCTTGTTGTGGTTCTTGTGGCTGTGCCTGCAGGTTATGCAGTGGATTGCTGGGTACCAGGAGGCGCTTGGCGAATTTGGGGTGGAGGAGGAGGACGTGGCTTTCCCACTGAGCCCCCGTTCGGGCGTAAGCCTGCTAATCGGCAAGTATGTGGACCGCACGGTTGCCACTCTCTCTTCCTGGCTCAACAACATTGTTGAGGGTGACTTCAAATTTGAGCCCAAGGCGAGTGCGGAGGGGCGCATGTGGACTCCGGGCGCAGTCGACTTCTTCCGCATCTTGAATGAGCAGGTGGCAGTGGTGGCAGAGGTGAACCAGGGCGACATGCTGCTGCGCGTGGGCCAGGTGAGAGTGCAGGATTGGGGCCGGACAGAGGATTCGGGGCTGACTGCTGCCCGTTTGGGCAGGGCGGAGAGTCCAACCTGATGTGCTCGTACCCTCCCCCTGAGCCTCGCACAGTTGCTTCTGACGATGCTCTCAACTCCAACCATGGCC